GGTAAGAGAATAGATTTACTTTATATTGAATAGCAGTTACATGTGTTATACTATGGCTAACAGGAAAGAGAGGTAAAACAAACAAAATAAGCTTACCCGTAATATAGTAATAAGTTGAGGCCTGTGGTTTTGCTTCAATAATTGCTGCGTTTGCAAAGTTTTCCACATTTTATTTGTATTCTGCCAACAGTGTGACAAGTTGGAATCTCCCCAGAGTACTGGTACTCTATGATTGTGGATGAACAGTAGTGCCCAGTTACCACAATAGTTAATAGATTAGATATTATGAATACCTATCGTTATGCAAATTATCTACTATCGTGAGCAGTTTAGTTCAACACTTTACTGTGAATTGAATGGGAAAAACACTTTATTAGCATCTCAATGAACATGTGGCATTTCTAGATGCATAATAAAGTATGTGAATTCTGAATATTGATCTGAATACTCCTTAACAAAATGGTTTTAAATTATTGTATTCCCTGGATATTTAAATTTAAATTTAGTGTCTTATATTGTTTTTTTTATATAAATGTGGATTAATTAGTTGATTTTATAATTCATCATGTATATATTTTTTAATGACACAGGTGGCCATACAGAGTACCTTGAATCCAACGTTGTTCATTGGACGATAAACAAGTCAGTATTTGAGCTGGCTTGCCTCTCTCTCTTCAAATTATGTATTCTCTTCTTCGTCTTTGTGAAGTTGGAAGACATTGCTATGAAACAGGTTGAGGATCCTTACAACCAAACATTGAAAAGAAACAAAGCTATTTTACATATTATAACTCTTCTTGTGAGTTTTCTCAGCCTTGCCTACACAACAACAAAAGGAGTTTTTGTACTTGTGAATATGAGTTATCGCGATATGCACGTGACCTACAGTGCTTGCTGCATTGCGGCATTCACTTTCTCCATCATTGAGTTCCTCCTTTGTATTCTTTATCCTGTGTTTCTACGCAAGTTGAAAGTCATCGAATCAAGCGTAGTTACAATGATGAGGGTGTAGAAGTGGATGAAGATGGTAAAGCAAAAACCGAAAAAAATTGATATCAAAAGATTAATGTCACTTTGCAAACCGGTAAGTGAAATGTACTTAAAGCGGGGGGAGTCATCACCTGTGCATGCGTCAGATGGCTATAGCATGTCATTGTTTACAAACAAGCGTCTACCCAATGAACCTTTGCCGTTTTAGCATGTGTTGTTATCGTCACTTGGGACTCAATTCCCGTGCGTGCGCAGGTGACAACCCTCTCACTTTAAATGTTGTAGTTTTAGGTAGTACTGTAAAACCAGTTATTTTCACTGACATTTTATTTCACTATTTTGATGTTTTGAGCATATTCCTTGTGTTTTAATTTCATGAATTTGTCAAAGAAACAATTAGTTTTATTTAACATTCTCACATAGAATTAATTTAGCTGATTTTACTTATCAGCGAAAATAGCGAAATTAAAACCTAGTGAATAATTATTGCATGTACCGTATTTCACCATATTGCTATTTGCTCATTGGGTTTAAAATTCATGAATTTTACAATACATTATATACCTCCCAACCAAAGTATACCACAAGCTATTGTGCAATTCTTATTGAGTTGTGCACTATTAAATTGAACACTCTATTATATTTGCTGTAATAGTACATCAGAATTACTTTCTCATAGTTTTTAGTGATAAAAACAACACAAAAAAGCTCAGAGAAATATTGAATACTTAACTTAAAACTTAAATATCAGACAATATTCAAATATGTATCAGTTGACAATCCAAAATGTCATTTATTTTTAGGCTAATCATGCATATAATTAATTGACAGCTGCTAGATCACTGTAAAATACTTTATTTTAGCTGGAATTAATTTTTGCTGAAAAGGCTTTATGGGTGTTCTGTATAGAATTTATTTTCACTATTTTTTGATGTGTTGAATGTAAATATAGGCAAAAAAGTATATTCATTGGATTTTATTTTCATTGAAACATCCCTTCAATGAAAATAGAGCAAATAAATTCCAAGTGGAAATAAAGTATTCTATAGTATTAGTCACAAGCCACTGGGTGTATAAACAAAAGTGAACAGCACTTTTTTAAGTACCCGGCACGTTCTGTTCATGATTTTTTTAAATTTGTATATGAAACTACAGTCAACAGTATCCAGAGTAATTTCAGGAAATTCATTGATTTTTAAAAGCATGTAATTTTCTTAATGTTAGTGTGTATCTAAAGTATTTGCAATATTAATTAATGTTATTTCAAGAACAATAAACAATATAAAATCCCACAAAAACCTGTGCTATGTGGTGGTTGATCTAGTCATGGTATGGTACACAGACCTTTTCTATAGAACAACCAATTTGGTGAAATTATGGTACACAGGCCGTTGCTATAGGTCAATTTGGTGACAGTATGGTACATAGACTGTTGCTATAGGTCAATTTGGTGACAGTACCAGTTTAGTGAAGAGCCACTGAACTCACAGTATGTTTTTGATTACAGGATGCATTATTGCTGTTTTTTGCTACGATAGCTCTTGTAATCTCAAGTCTCGCTAACATGGCTGCACCATTATTCTTTGGCAGAGTTATTGACGTGGCCTTGAATCCAAACCACACAATGGGTAAAGTCACTTACTATATTTCATTATAATTTATGTTATTACATTACATTTATTCATCAAGAAATGGTATTTATATTATAATAATAAGTTCAGTTGGTGTTTGTAAATACTTGTTGCCAAGCAGTGTTTCTGAAGAATAAACACCACTTGCAATATTTGTTGCGTGATTCAATTTAAGAATTCACCAAAATGGAGCTTTTCTGCCATTCTGGAACCAGATCATCGTCGAGCAGACAAATCATTAAAACGTGGTATATACATTGGACACAATGGGACATTGATCATTGATCATGAGCAAGCATTTTAGCTGTTCTAGAACTGAATCTCAGTCATGCATGTACTACTTTTGTTCAATCTTGGTATTTACATTGAACATAATATGATACATGTCATTTTGTTTATCATATCTAACTCAAATGACCAAATGGTGGCCATTATATTTTAATGCTGTGTCAGAGACGTATATCGGTCATTTTTTCACCAATTACTTTTAATCACGCATACATAAGCACATGCATTTGCCAAAGTTCAATTTTAGTTTGTATTCTGTGTATATTTTAGGTATTAGGTAAATTTCACTTAATTGTCTTCATCTGATGGTTACAATTTTTATTTGACCATCTTCCGATTTGGAAATCTTATCAATTAATATGAAATGTCAACCAAGTTCAATTTTTTTGTGATTAGCAAGTGCACTTTTCAAAATATTGGGTAAAATTTGGCTGAAATAAAAAAATTGTTAGACAGAGAATAAAGTGAAGGCATTTATGCTGCTGATAATGAGATCCAGATAATCATAATATGCTCTCCAAGATATGTCAATTAAATAAGTGTAGTAAACTGATATTTTGTTTCTATTATGAATATAAATGAGAAAAGTGACACCAAGTAGACTTTTGTACAGTTTATGATATATTAATTGAAAAAACATGTTGGTTAGAATATTTCTTGCAAAATTGTGTGCATCATTAGTTTGTATCCATCTATCCATTTGGTATTTAATCTAGATTCACAATGAACACGGTTTTAATAGTAATGTTATGTTTTAGTATTGAACAACAAGGAATGTGTTATGTTGGTGAATTGCTATTTTCATATCTTGCTCATCACATCTCTATACAAATAATGTTATACAGTTCTCAGCGGGATACTGTTTTTCTCGTTAAGAATGTTCATTTGCAGATTGCATTGTATAATTGCTCTGAGCATGCTCAGTTGATGCAAGCCTTGAATCTCTGAGATCAAATCTTATTTTACAGTTTCATTTATTTCCTTATGTGCTTTTTGTTCAAAATTAACAGCGCAAGTGAACGAACAGGTGTTAATTCTGTTCCTGATATTCGTTGCTGGGGCTATTGGTGCTACATTTAGAGCTTGGCTGTTCACTCTTGTCGGAATCCGCGTTGTTTGCAGAATCAGACGCCAGTTGTTCAGTGCAATTATGCAACAGGAAATTGCCTTTTTTGATACAACCAGGACTGGTGACTTGACCAATAGGCTGTCTTCTGATACTGGTGTTGTGCAGAATGCTGTGACTGTAAGTTGCATAAGTAAACAACTCATTTGCATAGTTAATTATTTCATACACTTTTCATTATCAGAAGGATTAAGATATTCAACCTCTAATTAATTAAACTTGAATTAAAACGCAATTTTATGTTGAATTGCATTGAATTGAGCTTAATGAAACTCCAATTAAAATGCAACCCTATATAGGAACAGGTTTTAATCGAGTTCATTTTGCAACTATGTTAAAAGTTTATCCAGTGTGTCTCAATGATGATACGTCATGAATGTGTGTGTGTGACAATATGTGATCAATACTCTGGTTAGTGTATGCGGGTGACACATAATGCTATGAGGAAAATAAACGTTTGCTCTCACTCTCGTGACCAGTCAATACATATTCAATATATATATATAACATGACAGAAAACTGGTACAGTTCAACTTTATTCTCATTACAGGTGAATATATCTATGTTATTGAGGTACTTATTTCAAATCTTTGGTTCCTTGATAATTATGTTTAAACTGAGTCCTTCACTGACTGGTGTATTATTTGCTGCTGTACCAGTGGTAGCGATAGGAGCTACCCAGTATGGTATGTTTTTACTTTTCTTGTTATCCTTTTGTTATTGTTTGTTAGTTTGTGATTATTATGTTTTGTTTATTTATTATTTATTGACCACATTGTATGTGAACCTGACAATTATATTGTGTGATTAAAATCAAGGTTCATAATTCCGATCTCAAGTTTCAAGCTTTTATTGATACATGTCAATTTGCTGACTGGTGGCCATTTTGTTCTGTTTTTTCATGTGTGCCTTTCCAGTAGCATTTTTTCATCAAATGCACTTTTTGATTCCTAAGGTTATGCAATTATGTGATATGACCAGAATTGCTAAATACAGTAACATCTGTATTAGAAGCCGCAGCATCTATTAAAATGGTACAATGAAACAGAATGGATGCGGTTTCTATTAGAGCATCTACACATATGAGAAATGATGAGTTATTGGTTCTCAATTGTTCAAAAAGAATGGGTGTGACTTTTATTAGGGATGCGGCTTCTAATACAGATTTTACGATAATAACAAAATAGCTGCTGCATTGGAAATGTACATTTCTAAACTCTTATTTTATATATCCTTGATTTCAAGGTAAATTTGTGATGGGCATTCAAAAGAAATTTCAGGATGAATTGGCTGCTGCTGGAACCACTGCAGAAGAATGTATCTCTAGTGTACGTACAGTGCGGTCTTTTACAGGCGAGTCCAAAGCATGTGCTACATATGGAAAGGATATCAACAAAAGCTATGTCCAAGGGAGGAAATTGGCTGCATCTTCTGGTGCATTTCAAGGACTAGTGGGCATAGTGGCACAAGGCGCTGTCACATTGGTATTGTGGTATGGTGCCAAGTTGTTATTTCAGGGGAACATCACAGTTGGTACTTTGACATGTAAGTTTTGCATTTATGCAAATATTTTACTGATATTCATTGTTCTGTCTAAAAATGCAAGATTAACTGTTAGTTCCTGTTAAGTAAACAACAACAAGAGAGAACACAAAAACTTTATTTCACTCACCACATGTCTAGTGCTTCCTTTAGTAATTATCGCTCATAACAGTTCAGTAGTTGTAGTCAAAATCATTCATTGTTTATTAATGGCATTGCAAAGCACTTCAACTACCCACTAACCTCCAGGAACAATTTCACAACTGTGCGTGGCTGGACCAATGCGGAGATTGCATTTGGTACTACCCATGATGCTCCTGCATTGCAAAGCAGCCAGGGTCATACCATTGAAAAAATCTTTGATGAGGACTACAATGTGTTTATAAAATCTAGACTATATTCAAATAGTGTATTGGCAGTGATTAATAATTTAACAAATAAACTTACTTGTAGTAGTGCAAGTGGGGGATATAGTGGTTACCACCATCTGTACGTCTGTCTGTACGTTCATCTGCACAAATTTATATCAGGGACACTATTTTAGATGGACATTCACGCATTGTCATATTGAAGACATTGCACACACATCTGATCAATATATTTAAGTACCATATATGGTCATGTGACCTCATTAAAAATGCATAAATATCATATCCAGAGCACTATTGCAAATAGAGACATTCAACTAGTGCTTGTAAAAAGATGCTCGGGATCTGCCATTTTTTATTGCTTTCTTGTTTTATTTTGGTCCAATATATTATGTTTGCATTCTCTCTAAAACCATAAGCCAGATTTATATTTGCCTCACTGATATAGTTGTTCAAATCCGATATATTTAACTTCTCAAAATGAAGATAAGATATAGTTTCCTCTCAAATTTAAATGTTTTTACCAAGCAGATTTGTCATTGACATTTAGCAAAAATATTGTTCACACTATGTAAAATTTATTTCTTGCAGCTTTTATGCTTTACACAATGAACGTTGCCATGGCATTTGCTTTCCTCTCCTCACTTTATGGCGACTTTATGAAAGCTGTCGGTGCATCAATCAGTATCTTCAATTTAATGGATAGAGTACCTGAAGTGACGAATGAAGGCGGTGAAAAGATACAACCCTTTCCTTGTCAAGTGGATTTTAAAAATGTTAGTTTCACCTATCCATCAAGACCGGATACGAAAGTGCTCAAGGTGGGAAAACAAATTTTGTGTTGATAGAGCAATTTTTATGATCTTAGTTTTATTCAGCATTGATAAAGTCACATTCATTCTCTGTCTGGTATTTCAAAATGTGCAACATTTAAAAACACTCGTCTTTAAATAATGATAGAGGCAAATAAAAACTGGGTGCATCATAATTATGTCATATTCAAACACGATTACTGAATGCAAATGGTCGTTGTAATATGCTTTTTTATGTGCATTACAGGCTACTAAATTGTGACTGCTTCCTGATGACTTGTAACATGGTATCCACTGTATTTATGTGCTGGTCGATACGATTGATTCTAGTCAACACATACTCTGTCATATGTTGCTTTCATATTACAAATAGCATTGATCTTTCCTCAATCAATCTCATGAATATTCTGAAGATGATCAAGCAATTTCATGAATATTCAAGAGATGATCAAGCAATCTCATGAATATTCAAGAGATGATCAAGCAATCTCATGAATATTCAAGAGATGATCAAGCAATCTCATGAATATTCAAGAGATGATCAAGCAATTTCATGAATATTCAAGAGATGATCAAGCAATCTCATGAATATTCAAGAGGTGATCAAGCAATTTCATGAATATTCAAGAGATGATCAAGCAATCTCATGAATATTCAAGAGGTGATCAAGCAATCTCATGAATATTCAAGAGATGATCAAGCAATTTATGAATATTCAAGAGATGATCAAGCAATTTATGAATATTCAAGAGATGATCAAGCAATTTCATGAATATTCAAGAGATGATCAAGCAATCTCATGAATATTCAAGAGATGATCAAGCAATCTCATGAATATTCAAGAGGTGATCAAGCAATCTCATGAATATTCAAGAGGTGATCAAGCAATCTCATGAATATTCAAGAGGTGATCAAGCAATCTCATGAATATTCAAGAGATAATCAAGCAATTTCATGAATATTCAATTTCATGTACGTTTTTGGTGGAATTCAAATCAATAATATTAGTATTTTTTTCACTTAGGATATCACTTTCTCGATGAAACCAGGTAGCGTTGTGGCTTTGGTTGGACCCTCTGGTGGTGGCAAATCTACCATAGTCAATTTGATTGAAAGATTTTATGTACCTGATACAGGAAACATTATGTTAGGTATGAGATTTCACTTAGTATGCAAATATGTATTTCTCATTGCTCACATGTTTTATTAAATATGGAAAAAGTTGTGCATATTTATTTTGTGAAATGTGAATGAAGTTGACATTGTACAAAAATAATTATGGCTGTGTAACAAGACAAATCATTCTGCCTATTGCTGTTGGACATTGTCAATCATCATTTGTCTTTCTTGTCATATTAAAACAGAATGAAAGTTTTTGATGTCAGACAACAACATTTCACTAAAAAATGTTAGCCAACATTGGTCTTGGTCATTTCACAATCTCTTAAATCAGAATAAAATTCAGAAAAAATTAGGAACTTAAGAATAAGTATGTTTTTGTTTGATTGTGATGTAAAAGCATGATGTGATTCTGTTTGGTCTGAGAAAAAGTATCATGGTTTTGTTGATAATGAAGAGATGACACTCCTTTATTGTATTTTTTTGCGATAGGTGGTGTTAATATGGCTGGCTTAGATCCCCAATGGTTCAGAAAAAATATATCCATGGTTAGCCAGGAACCAGTGCTGTTTGCATGTTCCATTAAAGATAACATTACATATGGAACTGATGCTACTGATGAAGAGGTAGGAGTAGTGTTTTTTCATGCATATTCACAAAGTGTTCATCAAGAAGTATAGTGCCTTCATATAAATTTAGTCATGTGACAGATGTACAACTCCTGTGTGAATACAAACAATGTATACCGTAACTACTAATGCATATGAATTTAAAGAAACTTAGTGACCTACTGAATATTATGTACATGTATCTTGTATCCTTCCACCATTCTCTGCTATCCTTATATTACAACATCCATGCCTTCTCACTACAGAATGAGTAGTTTTCTCAGAGTGATATCAATATGTGCATATAAAGAATTTGCACAGTTAGGTAAAAATTTACTAATTTAAAAGGAAAAATACATCATATTTTGTAGTTGATAAAGGACTATTTTGATCTTGTTTTTTTTTATTGCTGTTAATCTGTTGTCATAACAAACAAATGTAGACAACAGTAAAGTTTGAAGTTGCTGAGAATTTTAAGCTAGATAAAATCCATGCCATACCGGCTTTCTCATGCTGACAATGAAGTTTTAATGAAGTACCAATTGCACAGTTCTGATATACATAATCCACAATACTCTGTACCCAGGAACTGGTGCACTCATGACACCAACGAATAAATAAAGAAGTAAACAAGTCATCAATGGATGGATATAAATCATTTATTGGTGGAAAATAATGTCCTTTGAATGTATAAATGTTCTGACATTTACAGAAATGATGATGGGGAATGCCAGTATATGTACCTCTGCACATAGGTACTTCATACAATATGTATAATAAAGCAATTGCACTATTCATTAACTTTAGGCTTAGAATTTAGGCTATATAATTTTTTTATTGTATTGCAGAACTACTGTGTAACATTTTTTTTCACATGTAAATGTGTTTTTTTTTCAAATCATTTTTTTACATCAGTCGTGCAGTAGTGAATTGATCTGATGAAAATATATCTATCTATAATTTGCTTAATCCCTGTATTTATTGATTCCTTATTCCACTGATCACACTTTACTATTACGTACATTATACATAATGTCATTTGTTTTCATGTTCTGATTCAAAATCTTTTCTTTACTGATGAACTAACATGAACTCTGCCATGCTATGGTACAAAATAGGGACACTGTTTCAGAAAATTCTACTCAATAAAGAGACATCCATATAGAACTTTAATTCTCAAATAACATCATTTAATCTCTTTGTTTTGGATGTTATTCTATGTAGCACACACTGATGTTGTAATATGTTATGTTTCTACAGATAGAGGACGCTGCTAGACAGTCCAATGCACATGAATTCATAACAACATTTGAAGAAGGATATGATACTCTGGTTGGTGAGAGAGGTGTTCGGTTGTCAGGGGGACAGAAGCAGAGGGTTGCCATAGCGAGAGCACTGATTATGAACCCAAGTATTCTACTATTGGACGAGGTAAGATGCATCTGAAATGAACTCTCACTGGTACCAACAAATTTGGAAAGTATATAAATATGATCAAATTACAGTGTTTGTTGTGACTATGGTGAATTGGATGTGAATCAATAAACTATATATACTGTGACAATGACAACGACAACTGTAAAGTGAGTTGAGTACTCTCAGATTTGTTCATTTCGTGACGATATCTTCAATTTCTTAATTTTGATGAATATTTTTGTAATTTGTAAAAAGTCAAGTCTAATTGCCTTGATGTTATAGGTACCTCAGATAGACCTCTCTCAGATTTGTTCATTTTCTAATCATATTTTCAGTTCTTTATTTGAAACCTGCATTGCTCACAGCAGGGCTATCTCAGCCAAGAGGCTGCTTGTTCACACTCGGTTTACCTTTCAAAACATTGCTAGTCAGTTTTAAAAAAAAAAATATTATTTTGGTTGAAATCAATGTTGATGGATCATACTTCAACATTGGTAACCCTATTCTGCATTGATGGATGTGGTGGGAAGGTATCCTAATGTTGATTTGCATGATAAAAATCTGTCTTGGTAAGATCTGTATCTTCGGAACTTCATTGATTCTTACCTAGAGCTTATTTATGTTAATTCAATACACACTCTATCTTCTATTCACTCACATTTCTCTGTGTTATCTATTATCGTATCCAGGCAACCAGTGCATTGGATGCTGAGAGTGAACATTTGGTAAAGGAGGCAATTGATAGAGCCATGGAAGGCAGAACAGTGTTGGTGATAGCACATAGGTTATCTACAGTTAGGAATGCATCAGAGGTAAGATATGCCTTCTATACAAAACTTAGTACTGTATACTGTCTATACAGAAGGAAATTGATAGAGCTATGAAATGCATCATTGTTTACATGTGTGTCTGTGTTTATAATTAATTTGTTTCCTAGGTTATAGTAATCAACAAAGGTGAGGTTGCAGAAAGAGGAACACATGAAGAGTTGATAAACAAAGGGGGAGTCTATAAAAAACTGGTTTTACGACAGCTAAGTGCGGGTACCTTGACAACCAAAGCTGATATTAACATCAATGCTGCTGATGATGATATTGATACTATTGATGAAGATTTTGAACTGGATGATGATTCTCAAGAAATGAAATCATAGAAAATATCCAAAACTTAACACCTGTCAGTCATCTATCGACATTACTGATTGTCTATTGCCGTTTTTACCTTGCCGTATAGGTGAAGGACAAGGCATATGAGTGGAAAATTTCTGTTGTAAAACTTTTTACTTGTGGTTACGCTAACTCAAATAGTTTTTTTATTCAATATATTTCAAGTTTGGAAAATAATATTACCAAATTTTGAATTTAATTAAGTTAATTTGTTTTTGTTATATGTATATGACAGTGTACTTTCCCCACCAAATCAGGCTAATATTTTATTTTGCTTATATATATTAATGTACTATTATTTGGAAACTTTTATAAAATTCATGTTATATTATTCTATAAGGGACATTGAGATTAATTCAGTACATGTAGTATTTATTGAGGAACAAGTTGGCTAGTATTTTCCTTGCCACATGTTGTTTAGATATGTTGCTGTACTATTATTTTTTTAAGAATCATGAACTATTCTGTTAGGGACATTGAGGTTAATTAATTAATTAATTAATTAATTAATTAATTAATTAATTTTGTGTAATGTGTAATTTTGATGATTGTTTTTGTCTGTTTTAGAGCAGAATTGTTCCCAACTAAATATCAGCCAATATATTATTGCATCATTTCAAAACTGTTGTACTTGCTTTTAACATGCAATAAAAATATTGTGCATTGTTCTGTATCCATCCATGCATTTCTTACCTAATCCAGGTTCTCAATGGGCAAGGTTGTAATAGTTATGCTATGTTTTTATTATAATAATACTTCGAATATCAATTTTGTTTATTGCCCCATTTGATAACATTTTCATTCGATATTGTCTTTTATTGTTGGTACACATATAAGTTAAAAGTACAGGCTCAGAAAGTACAGGTAAAGGGTCTAGTGTTCTATCAAAACCTTTTCATATTGTGTTAAATCTTTGGAAGTCAGCAGAATCATTTTGTTTTTATCTTGTGTGCACTTGTAAAATAGCAAATACTAATTAAAATAATTACTTGTTGCATCTGATAATTTAGTTCTATTTATGTAAATTATTCATTCAGTTCTGTTCAAACCATTGTTTCTTGTAAATTTGAAATATTTGTTTGCCTCAATTGTAATTATTGCGAGGGGGAATGTAAAAGAAATAATAGGTTGGTTTTATTGACTCCGTCTGCAAAGTTACCCTACCTTGTGTATGTGTGTGTCTGTTCCATTGATGCTTGTCAGATTTCAATAAAACTTGGTACAATGCACAGACCTGATTAGTTTTGGGTAAAAATGTGTGCATATATTAAGTCTCTAATTTAAACAAAACTAGTTAATTTTTAGCTTTTCTCAGGTACAGTACTCATTCCGCCCAACCTCCCGCTTTTATCGCTTGT